TGAACGTGTTACTTAGCGATGAGTCCACGTACAAAACACTGAAAAAAGATCCGACTAAACAAATTAACAATAAGATTAACTTTCTCGTTAAATCGTGGCGTGACAATGATTTAATCGACGAGTCGACGTACAAATTTCTAAGAAACACAAGTGGAGATATCTTCGACGTTGTTACGAGCTTCCGAAAATGCATAGAACTAATTTTCCTCTAAGAATTATTATCTCAACTTTAGGCAGTCCTCTATATAATTTGGCTGATTACATACATGGCATTCTGGGTCATTAAGATCTAAAACACAGCAAGATACAAAATCACACATTGATGTTCAAGGCGATTGAAAAACGTTGGACGGAAATAACCAGTAATACTAAATTTAACTTACAATAATTTTTATATGCGATTAGAGTAATCTTAGAATCAACGAGTTTTAAATTCAATGACAAGTTTTATGAACAAGTTTTTGGCAGTCCGATTAGATGGGATCTCCGTTTTCTCCGATTTTGGCGGATTTAGCACTTAATGACTTAGAATCCTAAACATGTTGGATTTCACAATTCCTCTGTATTATAGATATGTAGACGACATCATTGCTATTATTCCGGAAGACAAGATTGAACAGGTTTTCACGAGTTTCAATAATTACCACACTCGTTTAAATTTCACACACGAACTAGAAAACAATGGGTCATTTTTTTCTACATAGTGACGATAAATTATAAACATAATGATTATTTTGATTAATATTCCAGTATTACCTTCAGTCATATATATGAATTAACGAGAATTTATGTAAATTTTTTAAGATGTAAACGTCTCTAGATGTAAACGTCTTTTACATTTAATATTGTTTAGAACTATTTAATTTATTTTTCATTATCTTTGTTTTTCTGACACAGTTGATATGTGACACTATTTTTAAATGTGTTCTGAGTTCTGAGTTCTAAAACTAAAAAAAATAATAGAATATTCATATAATTTTATAATCTAAATAAACAGAACTTATATATTATAATTAATATGTATTTCTTTAAAAGTACGTTTTTTAAAAGTCTTTAAAAGTTTACGTTTAATATAAATTTCAAAAATTGTATACAAAAGATATTTTAATAAATATGTAGGTACTTTATGCAGAAATAATAATTTTCTTCAACAAGTTATTTTTAGTATAATAGCAATATAATTATATAAACAATTATTAAATATTAAAAAAATAAAGAAAGTACGGCACTATATTAAAGCCATTATTGGCATTGAATATGGGCATAATAAATTAACTAACCATTAATGGCTGAACATTGTTCACCATGTTTGGCCGCGTATAATTATCCTTTATCGGACCGAAGTTATCATTCCATAATATTCCCATTGATAAGCCAGTTACGATTGCTATTACCGCGCCAATATAAGTAACCTGGTAACCAATTTTGGGTACTAGGCCAATTGTAAAATCCTATAATGTATAATAGATAAACTCTAATAGTTAACCAATTAATGAAAGGTGAATATCCAAATAGGATATTATAAATGTAAATTATTTTATATTTAATTAGAATATTGTATGTTATAATTAACGATAGGTTAACGCCCGAAATTTAATGATATAAATATATATTATATTCTATTTAGGTAAATTTTATTTGGAATTTTAAATTAATATTTCAAAACCAGAGGTGAATGTCTATAAATATAGATAGTCTAAATATATTATTAGGCGAATGTCTAAATATAGATAGTCTAAATATATTATTATTTAATGTAGCATATTATTATTTAATGTAGCATATTGTAAAAAACGGATAAAGACAACGTCGACAATTTATGCATGTCTAAATATTATTGTTATAATAAATGCATATGAGTGAGTTGGATGAATGAAAAAGAAATTAAATAAAGTAAAATGAGAACCCCTCAGGAGTGTTATTGAGTTACGGCGAAATAAATCTTTGATAGAATATGCGAGCATAAATAAACCCATTAGTCAATTAAAATTTACGTAACAGAAAGTGATTTTTATATTGCTCATATCAAGAATATGTGTCACTAAAAGGAGGAAAAATTAAAAATATATATTTTATATATTAATAGTATATTAGCTAACAAGTGCGGGGGATCGTAAATCGGCCGAGAGTGCGGAAGTTTGGCGCACGAGGCTTCGCCTCGTGCGCCAAACTTCCGCACTCTCGGGCGATTTACGACCCGCACATGTTGGCTACGATAAAGGCTTCGCCTCGTGCGCCAAACTTCCGCACTCTCGGGCGATTTACGACCCGCACATGTTGGCTACGATATTTTGTGACCGGTGCATGGAAAGAGCCCTTTCTAAAATCCCATCAAAGGGCGACTTTCCGCGCGCCGGTTGCACAATAACTTTTTTTCTTTCTAACTCTCTTTTTGCTGTCACTATCGTAATCAACCTTAAAAGGATTATAATATTTTATACAACAAATTAATATTATAACATTACTATTCTTATTGCTTATAACACAATATTTTTTTTTAATTAATATATTCTTATATCTAGAGAAATATTTTCTTATATCTAGAGAGAGACATGCTAAAGTCATTATATATTATATCTATCTTCACAAAAATTCTATCAATAAACGTAAAATAACTTGATACTTTTGACAAATGTAATATATCGAGTATAGTATACCTAAAAGTTACCACAAACAAATAAATCAGTATAATTTTTTTATACAATACACATTTTAAAATAATCAAAGGAATAAAAAAATATCCAAAAAAATAGACAAATTTTAGAGACTTTGGACGGTATTCATAGTCCAAGCTTAAACATCGTCTTAAGATTTTCTTGATTAAGATCGTCTTGTTTGTATAAGTATGACTTGAGACTTCATGTATTCACAGTTTTATTTAAAATGAGACGATCTTCATAAAAAAATAAGCACTTCTTTTTATTTAAGATTTTTTTACTGAAGTTAGTGCTTAAGATGATCTGATTTACTTTCAGTAATCTTCGGGATTTTTCTGATGTATCAGCCAATGAAATGTGTGTTTAAATATAGAAAAATTTAACGAGTTGTATGTCTATACCATTTATTCATGTATCAAATTATTGCAGACTCTAAAGTATTGTTAGAAAGTGACTTTTCTGTAAAAAAAAAAATGTCAAGCAAAAAACATATAGATCCCGAAAAGAATTCTTCCTTAAAATTTTAACAAAATATTCTCCTTGAAAAAAAGTGATACTACAACTTTGAAAGACAAAGAAGAAGCATGGAATCAAACTTGCGATGCATATTGTTACAAGTAAGGTAAGAAATATATTTTTTCTAATTAGGTATGTTAAATGCTAAAAATAAAAATGTTAATTATATCTGAAGAAAATCTAATATGATATTTGCGGTAGATAGTTTCATTTTTAAGCTAGATTTTAAATACTTTTTATATTCAAAGTATTTTATTTTTAACATTTTAATGTGTAATAAATTATTACAGAGAAGCGTTCAATTTAGAAAATTATGGGGTAATTTAAAATCAGTACAGAGAGATGTCCTTACGCAGGAAAAACATGCACGTTTATCAACAGGTGGTGGACCTGAACCTAAATCTGCAGAGATTGACCCGGACATTGCCGCAATAGCACCCAATTTAATGACAATTGCGCCAACATTATTTTCATCAAATTTATCAGATAAAATACTAGAAGGTAATTTCATCTTTATTTTATTTATTTATATTATAATAAAAATTGAAAAATTAGTAACAATGAATATTTTTCAGAACGACAACAAAGAATATTAATGATTGTATTCCTGAGGAATTAATTGAAAATGTGGAGAGCATAGACTTTATTGATGATAATTTCCAGGAAGTTAATAATGATTCTATTATCACACTTCATACAAATGATAAAATAATTAATTTTATTGATATTTTCTATTAACATATTTGTTTATGAATAAGAATTTAGAATTTATGACAATGACAATTGAATGTTACAGACTCAAGCAGTAATGAGACTGATAATGCTGAAAAAGAAAATAATCCAGTAAATGCAATAATTAAAAATAATAATAAAGATAAATTTTATTAATATATTTATTTTTAGACACACCCCTCTCTCTGTGTGTGTGTGTGTGTGTGTGTGTGTTGCGTAGTATCTTAAGCATATTAACAATTTGTATTGTACTGGTGGAATCGGCAGACCACGATTGTTAATTTTTGCTCTAATCCTTCTTCAATTTTTGGTAATATTCCTTATAGGAGGAATCCTTATTAATCTATAGCGTCTTTTAAATTGTAAATTATTATAAAAGGGTTTTAAAAAGTCCATCACGAATGTATCGTTTTCGTACACGGTCTCTCTACTTGAAAATCACGATCAATCAATATTTTCAATATCATCAATTTCTTCCATTAATTCCATAATATTTAATAATAAGCTTATCTTAAAGTCATGTACGACTGACTTGAAAACATAATCTTACTTTCTAATAAACACGATCTTATTTGATTCAAATAAGACTAGTGATGGGCAAATAATCGATTCATAATCGATTAATCGATTATCTAAAAATAAATAATCGAAAACAATCGATTAATGCAAAAAAAAACTTAATCGATGTTAATCGATTATTCAAACAATAATCGACTATTTTTTTCGTTTTTTCTTGTTCCTTTGAGAATGAGTTCAATTAAGGTGCAAATTCATGCTCACGCTCATTTTCAGCATCAAAAGACGTCACGTGATCCAAACTAACAAATTGGGATCGACTTAAATATGCGTATTGTGTGTAAGTATTTACACTGGCCAATCATATCCATTTCTCTAAAGCCCGTATCAGAAGGCCGACTGACTTTCATCTGATCAATCACATCAAAGTTCTGATAGAATTTCAGTTTGTGATTGGTCTGAACGCGGCTATTGGGCAGTAGTAGTGCTTAGTACGCGTATGACCGTATGTCATTGCAAACAAGACCAGTGACTCTATGTACTATGTACGTTGTACGTATTGCGTAGTGGCCGTAGTGCGTGTTCGCAGTGCGTAGAATATTTAGAATCAGTAATCAGTAAAGGAAACTCTAATTTATAAAGTGTGGTACGTATATATTTATTATAAACTTGTGGAACATCTCGGAATTTATATTCACGAAAATATTTTTTAATATTTAATAATAGATAACCTTCAGTCGCTGATCAACCATCTGTACCTGGATAAACATGTTGAAAAATTGGATAAAAAATAAAAAAAATAGGGGAGAGAGATTACAAAATGAAAATGATAATGAAGGTAATTCTTATTAAATTAATATAAAAATAATATAAAAATAACTTTTATTTAATTTATAATAACTAAAGTTGTTATAGTAGCATCATGCAATTATTCTTTCAATAATCATTTTTTCTTAAAATATTAGAGATAATAGAGATGTCTACTTCAGAGAGTGAAATAGAAACTTATAGAAGCCGATCAACTATATCCAGTAAAGCTTCTTTTCTTTCTCGTGTAAAACGGTAAGACATTTTTGTGCTACAGATCATTATAAAAAATATTTGTATATACACACATCTATTATCTTTGATTTACAGTTCTAAAGCATCCTTATGTTTTGGAAATGTTTCTGATAATGATAATACAGAATATTCAAAAAATTCAAAGAAAGAATTTAATACTAGGTTTGTAATTAATATTTATATTGTATAGAATGAGTTTATTTTTTTCTTATGCTGAATATTACTAATATGTAATTTTTTCTTTTGTTTTGTAAATAGCAATAAATCTGTAAATAGTGTAAATAGCAGTATAAATAGTATAAATAGTGTAAATAGCAATATAAATAGTAGCAAGCAAGAGAAAAAGTTAAAAAAACGGTACGTAAAAATCAAGAAACAATACATTATTTTTATTTACAGACCATATACAGACTATATAAAATGTGTATAATTTTATTAAATATTAAATTTTTATTTTTAAGAATGTATCGTACAAAGTCTAATGCATGGGATTTTTTTACAAAAATTGATACAACACATGCTCGATGCAATATTTGTAAGAAAATATTTAAAAATTGTGGGAATACTACTAACTTTTTGATACATATAAAGAAACAACATGAAGTCGAATTTAATAAACAATATTTAAGTGGTTCAGATTCTGAAGGATTATGTTCCGAGGATTCAAAATCAATCACCTCCACAAATGTCTGTGTTTCAGGTTAGTTAATAATAATAAGAACATTAATTATATCATATTTATCCTTCTTATATTATTTTATACTTATCTTTATTACATTATTTTTCTTTATATTGTTTGGCTGTCTTTAGGTTCTATGTCTGAAAAAAAATCATTTAAAAATCTATTCAAAAGCGTTATTCCATACGATAAAAATAGTAAAAAAAAAAAAGACTTAGATCAGAAACTCGCTATGATGGTAGCCAGAGATTTTCAGCCTTTATCTTTAGTTGAAGACGAGGGATTTCGTGAATTTATACATGCTTTAAATCCTAGATACAATATAATTTCAAGAAAATCATTAACTAACTCTATATTACCTGAATGCTATGAAATAGCAAAGAATAATTTGAAAACTTTATTAAGAGAAACTCATGCTGTTTCTTTAACAATAGATGGATGGACATCCAATGCAAATGAAAGCTATTTGGGTATTACGTGTCACTTTTTTAAAGTAACTAATTTTTTGACTTTGCATTCTACTACCTTAGATGTAATATTAATTGAAAAAGACGAGACTGCAAATAACTTAAGTCAGTTAATCAGAAACTGTTTAACTGATTGGGAAATATTTGACAAAGTGAATCATATTGTAACTGATAATGCAGCAAACATGAAGCTAACTGTTGAGTTGCTCAATAAAAAACATTTTCCATGTTTTGCACATAGTCTCAATCTCGTTTTGAAAAATGCTATTACAAAATGTAATAACAAAGAGGTTCTTTCAATTATTACAAAATGTAAAAACTTAGTCACATTTTTTCATCACAGTTCTAAGGCTAGTAGAATGTTAAAAGAAGCAAACAAAAAATTAGCTGAGGAAGGAGAAACTGTTCCTTGTAAATTAATACAATATGTAAGTATTAAGTAATTAATTTAAAAATGTGTCAACAGATTTTATTAAATATAAAAAACAATTCTTTTTTCTATATCTTTTCTATGTTACAATATATAGATTGACACAAGATGGAATACATTATATCATATGATCAATAGTATCATTGATAATCATAATGGTATTAAATTGATTCAACTAAATGACGAGTACTCAGAACTTCCAATTTTAACAAAAGAAGAAATACAATTAACCAAGCAAATAAATATATTAGAACCTTTTGAACAAGCAACTAAAGATATTTCTGGTATGTATATATATATATATATTATAATATATATTGCAAACTTTTTATCTGAATATAATATATATGAATCTTATTGAAAATGTTTTAATTTTTTAGGTGAAGATTATGTTTCTATTTCACTCGTAATTCCTTGTATAAAAGGCATAATATTAAAACTGGAAGCTATTCATAAAACATTAAGTTATCCAGCAGCACTTTCATTTTATGAAAAAATTCGACAATTTATTGACGAAAAATTAATACATTATGAACAAAGAACGATTGGCAAAGTAGCTACGTTGATTGACCCAAGATTTAAAAAAATAGGATTTCGTTCACAAGCAAATTACGAAGAAGCAGTTAACATGTTACAAAATCTTCTTGCTGCTCAATTTAAAAGTTCGGATCAAATTGAAAAAAATGTTAACCTAACTCACTTTATTAATAACAAGACAAACAATTGTAGTGTTGCCAAGCCTACTGGAATCTTCAGTTTTATGGAACATTCGTCGCAATCTTCTGTAGCTAATATTGATAATATTGTTTTAACAAGAAATTATCTAACATGTGCAAATATTAATTTGTCCGAAGATCCTCTACATTATTTAAAAAATAGGCATCCAGAAATTTTTCAAATAGCCTTAAAATATTTATGTACTCCAGGCAGTTCTGTACCTGTAGAACGGTTATTCTCTACTACTGAATATATTATTTCTGAAAGAAGAAACCGATTATCTCCGAAAAATGTAAAAATCTTAAGTTTTTTGAATAAAAATTATAAACTTGTATATTAAACTATTTTAAATGCAAGTTTATAATTTTGAATAAATATTTTGAATAAATACTTTTCAAATAAAAATTTTTAAGTTGAGTTATTTAATATTTTCATATATTTGAGTAATTTTTATTTATTTTGATATTCTTTTCCAAAAGTTGTATTAAAATAAGTGTGTTAAATAATTACTGATATAAAGAAAATAACAGAATTACACGATTATAATCGATTATTATAGTAGTCCAATCGATTCCTGTTTTTACTATAATCGATATAATCGATTTTTTGAAATGACCGATTATGCTCATCACTAAATAAGACCATCAAGATTTGATTATGAATCCGACTAAGCTTAAGAAGAGAAAAGCATCTTAAAAGACTTTGTACTTAAAGACAATCTTAAATATAAGAACGGACTATGGAATACCGTCCTTTATTTTGAAAAATGAGAATTTAAATTTAAAAAGAGATAGGCTAAAATCTTTACTTTCGAAAAAGTCACAGTTGTTTTCCGACATACTTGTTGACCAAAAATGTCTCTCCAAGTAATTTTACAATAAAATACTGCTATAAACAGAGTGTCCAATAATAATTTAATGGCACTCATTGATCGTATATATGTATACGTATATATTCACAAATATGTTTCGGCAGTGCAGCGCGTGGCCTTATATTCTCACTCAGCGGAATTCTAACTGCGAGAAAAGACGCCGCGTAGCGGCGAAGGCACGAACGAGTGCACGACTTTACGGACGGTTTTCCGCGAGTGCTTTCGCGCGCAGTCTTGTCTGGCGGTGTAGTATATGTTACAAGCGTTTTACTATGAAAATATAATTGTGGCTTAAAAAGATTCTGAACGCCTTTGAGAAGTCTGTTGTTTTTTTCCTGTTTTATCGTCAAAATGTGATGTTAGATAAACTATAAATCTATTTATTGGCTATACGGATTGCTTTTTACCTAAAATTAGACCAGACTGGATTTCACATTGGATAAAAGAATATAAGTGAATGTTTAGATATCAATTTGGAAGCCTAGTAAACGAGAGTAGTTCATTCTACATTTTCATGTGTACACAAAAATGTAGGATGAGTTATTCTCATTTACTTTATAATCTCATTGCCTTATAATCGTTACTATATTTGCAAAATATAATTTATATATATAAATTATATTATAGAAATATATGTATTTATATTAAATTTTTTATTTGCTATTATACTTAAGTAATAACTCACTTAATAAAGTAATAACAAATAAAAAAAAGTATAATTTAATTTTATTATTATTCGACACATTTGGATAAAAAATGAGAAATTCTAGAACAAAGGAACATTTTACTTACAGACAAGTGACGCAGTTTACTAAACTTATATTTTATTAACGCTCGTATTTTCATTTTTGATAATAATTATTTCTAATTTGATAATAGATTTGTAATTAGCAGAGAAGTGCGTATATAAGTACAAATATGTTAGAAGAAATTCTGCTCGAAATTCACAGTACAAATACTCTTCTTTCTTCTGCTAGCAAAGGAAATGTTATCACTTTATCTTCTTATTTATACTCCACATTTTACATGGTAATTTTTTAAATCAAGAATTTAATATATTTGATAAATTAACAAATATTCTTAGAAAACTTGACTTCGACGTAACTAGCAAATTTTATTTAATTATTTCACGACGTTTCGACCATTTGGTTGTGGTCCTTTTCAAGTGAAATTTCTACAACATAATATTACACAATAGTTTTTAACATACGAGAACTCATTTAAGTGTTAAATTATTAAAATAAATATAAATTTTATAAACATACCCATCAATTAAACCGAGGTTAACGTAACATCACACTGGTGTTATTTAAAATCGAAAGTTAAAAGTTAAAAGAGGAACACGTCCCATCGTTATGATGTTGAAAGTTAAAAGTTAAAAGAGGAACACGTCCCATCGTTATGATGTTTCGTCAACGACTAAATTTGAAACGCGCCACTAAACAATCTTTATTATTTTGTCGTAAATGTTTGTCAAATTCTCGGTGTCTTTCTGTAGGTTAACTGTATTGTCATGCTTCTTTATGAAGAACATTTCAGCAATCTCTCTCTTTCTTACATGTTTCTCGTTATGTAAAATGGTCGGTGATTTCCAATCAACGTTATGCCCAAAATCACATCTGTGTTTGCTTAAAACCGAATGATTAGACTCATGTAATTTAATATTGCTGGCATGTTCCTTCACTCTAGTGCATAAATGTCTTTTCGTTTGTCCAATGTATGATGCATTACAATTTTCACAATTAATCTTGTATACTACATTCGTTTTAATATCATTAGTTATTAAATCTTTACCTCGTTTTATCAGCCTATTCAACTTTTTTGGCTAACTATAAACGACATTTATGTTAGCATTTTTAAGTGACCTTTTAATACTGTCGCTAACATCTTTAACGTATGGGAGTGGAATTACATAATTCTTATCTTGAGCCGAATTCACATTAACGTTATTATCTAAATCATTAGTCAAACTGTCGTTATTATCCGCATTGTAATCGTTAACATTCCTGTTGTTATTCAGTACATTAATTCTTTTATTTACATACTTATTAATAATATGATCCGGAAAACAATTATTAATTAAAATGTTCTTTACAATCTCAATATTCGTATTATAAAATTGTTCGTTAGAAAGTAAAATTGCATGGTCTACTAAATTGTAAATCGCATTAATTTTGTACTTAATAGGATGACTCGAAAGAAAATTGATGTATCTGTCAGAACATGTAGGTTTCCTAAACCAATTAGTTGTCACTTTATTCCCATTGCGGATAACTGTAGAATTTAAAAAATTAATAGAAGAATTGGTCTCTATTTCATGTGTAAATTTTAAACGTTCATGATAATTATTAAATGTACTTAAAATTTCATTTATTTTAGAACTAGGTAAAATAACAAAAATGTCGTCCACATATCTATAAAAAGTCTGAACTTTAAAACTTAAAGAATTTAAACAATTTGTTTCCAAGTCATCCATTACCAAGTCAGCTAATATCGGTGATAGAGGGGATCCCATAGGGCTTCATAGTACTGCTCATTAAATTGAAAACTAGTTGAAGTAAGTATTACATCAATAGCGTATAGAAACTGTTGCAAATTAAATTTAGTTTTTAGACTTATGTCACTCCAACGACTTTCAATTGCAGAAAAAACTAAATTTTTTGGCATATTTGTAAACAACGAACAAACATCTAAGGAAATCATTACGTCATCGTCATTAACCCTTGTATTTTTAATAGTATTCACAAACGTCCAACCATCTTTAACATTTGAATCCGGGACTGCCTAACGATGACACAATGATTTTCAATGGATACCCGCTCTTATAGATCTTTGGGAGCCCATAACACCGTGGTAAATTACCATTTGTGCAATTCAGAAATTTATATGTTTGATCATCAATGATCTCATTATTATGCCATGACTTTACTAACGTATGAAGTTTGTTCGTCAGACGTGTAATCGGATTTTTATTTAATTTTTTGTATGTCATCGAATCACTTAACAATAATTCCATATTAGTCACGTAATCATTTCTATTCATAACTGTCTATTCATCACTGTCACTTGTCCTTTGTCAGCTTTGGTAACAATCAAATCGTTATTATTCTGCAAATATTTATTAGAAATAGTAAACGCATTCTGAATAAATCTGTCACTATAATTGATATGTTTACTTTTAGATAGAAATTTTTGTAGTGAATTGGCAATGGATATTCTAGTTGTTTCCAAAGCATCCTCAGGAACATAACGACAATTCGATTCAAAATTCTTTATCACTTCAACGGTATAATTTAGTCGGTCGTTCTTATTTGAGCAATGAATCGGCAAGGCAAACGTGTCGCCTAAACTTAAGAGTTTAGATACAGTATCAGGTAACAAATATTGTTTGTAAACAAATCAATTATAAATTTCCAAAAAGTTATTGCATGTTTAGTTCAAACTCGAACATATAAAATTACGGAATATTGAAAAAGATATATTGAGATAAATAATTATAATATAATAAAAACAAATTGATATCTGTCCTATCTTGTTTTTTAAAAAGTACACATTGTGATTATGTCATTTAAAAGAAATAATTTAAAAAAAAAAAAGTGTTATGTTCGTGACAAAAAATGTCGTTACATAATATAACAGCATGACATACAGAAATCTGACGCTCTAACTCAAGCCAACAAACATGAATTTTGTACTACGTTCGTCATATGATAATCTCAAAAATGTTGTATTTATAATAAGGTCGATATGACTAAATTAATTTTTTGACATATTAGCATGATATTGAAAAAGACTGTCGTACAGTCGAAACGTTTATCTTATCTTTTGTATATTATGACGTAAATTAATAATAAAAATTTTTTAATTAATATGTTATAAGCTCGTTAAGTTGGCCTTTTATTATATCACATATTTTAGTAATTTAATAATTTATTGTTAATTATTATATATATATAATATATGAGGTATTATTTATGAAAGTGATCCACCCAAAGTTTTTCAATCACGCTAAAATTTGCAGAAAGTGTAGTCTTATCAAAAGTAAAATTATTCTTCAAGTTGTTTGGCCCACACTATACAGGCTCTGTGTTAACAGGGACTGGAATTTTTATCATTTTGACCGTTACGTCCAACTTCAAACGTTGATAAATTTCAGAAGACTACTCCGATTTTAAAAAATAAGGTGTGATTTCGAAAGGTTTTTTTACGTACTTTAATCTTGTAAAATTAGTTTTTTCTTTCAATAACAATTTATATAAGATTTTCAAAAACAAAGTAAAAATCAATTTTTTCTCAAATTTAAACATCTTCGATTTTCTTCAAAAAAATCTTAAAAAGAAAGTATATTTCTCGATCGACGCAAGTCGAGACACAAGTCTCTGGTTTCTCTTTATTTGATGGTGACGATTACGATAGATTTTGGAATAATTTAAAATGCTGCTTTGACTTGATCGATTCTTTATTACATTGCTCAGAGAGAAATAACTTGAGGCAGTGAGATAGGAATAATAATGTTCTTCTTTCGCCGAATACGTGACATTATATTAAGTAGTCCCCACGGGCGGTCTCGCAGGTCGCGAATTTTACCGAAATAAGTCGATCACTTCCTCGTGTCCTAAATCAATTCAACCCGATAACAATCGGTGCGTTATAAACGGAGCAAATATAATACTTAGTCTTTATAATAACACATACTCTCAAGATAATAACAAGCTATTGTTCGCTTTATAAGCTGTTTGTCACAACATTAACATAAGACAAGTAATAATAATATAACGACACAAAATATTATAATTCGATAAGTATGAAACAACTTCGTCGATGACTTATGCATACTTCGTATTTCTAATAGTATTTTTATTTTTAATGATTAAAAAAAAGTATTTAAAATCAATCTTTTTGATCAATTTTTGCTTTATTTTAATTTATATAAATTTATTCTTTTATCACACAATCATGTAAAATATGATTTTTATTTACAGAAAAGAGATGTTATAATTTATTACTGCAATAACTAATTATTATAATTAATGCTATTATTACTATAATTAATAACTAATGCTATAATTAATTACTAATTATGCTTACATATAAACTTCTATAATCTAATCTTCTTTTTTTGATGAGAAATAACTTGGAACAATACAAATCCAAATCTCAATTATAATATTTATTAAATGTAATTTAAAAATATAATTTAAAAATAACATATACAGGGTTTGTCCGGAAAGTAATGCGTCGCATTTTTTAAAAAAGAATTTATTGATCGCATAGGTAAAACAACTTAAAATTGTTCGAAGTATGACCCTTCTGCGTCAATACATTTTTGCCAACGCGATTTCCATGCGTCATAAGATTTCTGGAACTCCTTGACTGGGATGCTGTTCAGGGAGGCCGTCGAAGTAGCTTGTACGTTGTCAACCGACTCGAGCTGTTGTCCTTTGAGCTCCCTTTTCAGCCGAGGAAATAAAAAAAAGTCCGCCGGGGCCAAGTCGGGACTGTAGGGCGGCTGCGGCACCGTTGCCACACCGATCCGGGTCAGGTAGGCCGTAATAACAAACTTTATCGCATAGCGTTGCTCTATCGTTCTCTCCATCACAAGTTCGACGCGACCACTAAGCAGAGGTTCACAGAATAAGCCGTCCTAACCCTCCAAGCGCATGGAAACAATTGAGCGACCTACCGTTGGAAAGCTAAGGGTACCCCCCTTCCTCCCCAACTGGTCCCATCGCTCTGCGATGTATAGTCGCGTCACAAAAAAATGCGACGCATTACTTTCCGGACAAACCCTGTACATAATGTATATTTTTAATATACATTAAATGACATTAAACTAAATAAATGAAACACATATATGTACTTCTTACTAATTTCCATTTCATATTACATTGACTAATTTTTAATAATTGTTTAAAAATAAAAATGTATATAAATAATACATCAAAGTTCTTCTGGAAAATGATAACAAAAGCTAAATTTATATTTTAACTAGCATTGAATTGATGATATATAATACAGATCTAAAAACTTCAAGATTACAAAAAGATATAAATACAAGTTTATTCTTTGTCTAATAAATATCTCACATTTTGCAATTTATCATTTCAACTTACTATTAAAGAAGAAAATAAATATTTTCAATTTCCTGCCGAAGTTAAGGTCCGTATTCATAGCCTGTTCGCCTTACATTTATAGAAATAAGCCTTAAATCGTAAGCAATAAACCAAAATTATAATATTCGATTTATGTAGATGCGGTCTCAATGTAATAATTTTTCGTTTTTAAGACTAATAATAAACCAACAAACGATAAAATTCGATCAACAATCATCAACAAACGATTACGCATCGATTAGACCGTTTTTTAATTAAAAATGAGATTTTTCCGATTAACTTAATACTAATTTTTCTTTTTTAATTAAAAAAAAATATATAAATCAACAAACGTTGCAATTGGGCCAACAATAACCAACAAACAAAAATTTAAAAAGTCGAAGTTGACCGGCTGAGCTAATGGAGCTGTTCTATGTAGTGATGTATGTCTGTACCACAAATTAATAGACAGATCGCCAAAGGCCTGCCTAAAGAAGAAACCGCCATTTTCGTGCGATAGATTTTGCCCCTTATCGACACACTTTGCCCCTGGTTCGAGTCCGTGCTAAATTTCGTAGACTTTACCAAAAGACTTTGCCCCTGGTGCGACGCCAGGCTAATTGATCATGAGACCAATTTGAGAGATTTGGCCTAAGATTCCACCAAGAGTTCACCAAGTGACTAAGATTCTTGCGAACAGTTAACATCTATTTAATATGTGCTTACTTCTGTCAGTCTTGCATTGTTCATCAAAACAAGCGTTAACATTGTCGGTAGTTTGCATAGAAGTTGATTTACTGTTTTAAATTTATAGTTTTAGATGTACTTGAAAAGGGCTGCAATGACAGCCGAAACGTTGTTGTATTTCAAATAATTATTTATAATAAATTATTGCTAGTCTGGTCGACTTTAAACATTGAGGAGTAGTTTTTTTTATTTATTATCTCTCGCGCAATGTTGATGCCGTACGGATATTCTAGGATACCGAGAGGACTCCGAGTCGCGCCTACACCTGGACCGCTCCTGGAGAAGGACGACGGAGGGCCCGGCCAGCCTACCGCTTGTTCCCCCAGGAGAAAAGCCGCAGGAACAAACCCGGAGAAAAAAAATCCTCTCGAGCAGCAGGAAGATACCGGCGAGAGAATTACCCCGCTAGAGGGGGAGGCGGGGAAGACTTTAGGGCCCCGCCATCGACCCTATCATCGAGGGAATGCGCGAGAGATCGGCGCGGCACGTAGGGTACCGAGGCGCGCGAGGCCCGGCTCTCCACTGTTCGGTGTGCCTTAGAGCAGAGAGGGTGCCTCCAGAACTCCCACACGTACGACCCGAGGACCAGAATTCGTCGCCAGAAACTGTAAGCCGCCTCTCGAGTAGTCGTAGATCCGTGTTGGTTGGTACCGTAGGTATTGATCGTGTATTGTAATTACCGTGAGTACCGCACTCTCTCATTTTTCGTATCGTTTTGTGTGTGAGAGAGCGGTCTCTCTCTTGTCTTTTTTTTGGAGTATCGTACCGCGGGGCCAGCCGACTTTGCGTTTCGCGAGCCGAGCCCTCTCCGAGAAGTGCCACCGACAGTCCATCGTCTCGAAAGTAATTATTATAAATTCGGGTTACCGAGATATTCAGAGTCACGTTTCCTATAGGCTCGATTATTAGATTTTCGGAATTTGCGTGTAGCCGTTCTCCGCGAGTTTGTTAAATATTTCATTGTTTTCGACTCGGCGAGAAAGTCGTGCGAGAGTCACGAAATTACCGTCTTCTAGTTGTTATCTTTTTTTTGCATACCGCGCCGTGTCTCGGAGTATTTTATTGTGACCTCTGTCTATACCGCGTGCCCGCGAAAATAAGTTGGACCATCATAACGTTTACCGATTTTGTCTTTGTTTATCCCGTTTGTATATTATTGTCGCGAAATTCTCTAAGATATTTCACATTGTATAATACGAATTTTATAGATCAATTCCGAAATACCGATATTCGCAGATCTTGATATTATATTTTTGTTTCCCTACCGCTAGTTTATATATTACTGTTTGTTACATAATTATATTATCCAATTGTATTTATCAGATGTCAAATTGTAAATCCTAAGTGTCAAATATATATATTTGTCAAATTATAACACCACG